TTCCTGAACGGTCCCCAAATGTTTGGAAAATTGATTTTAAAATTGCCATATCGTATGCATTGCAAAACATACTTCCATATTCTGAAATTAAGGAATGTAATTACCATTATAATCAGTGCATATGGAAAAAGGTTTAAGAGTTAGGACTTGCCTGAATATTAAAGCAATGAAAATTTCGAACAAAATGTCCGTATGCTTGTTTTTCAGCATTTATTTCTCCGACCTGTGCAGTCAGATGTCAGATTTCTGCATAATGGTGTACTTTCCAGTAAATAGACTTGAAACTTGTACGAAAGTCAAATAAATAAACCTTAAAAACTTTCCAAAATAAATAAAATAGACAAGATAGTTCAGGAATTCTCAGCGGGGTCAGTATTAAAACCTGAGGGGAGGTCTATGAAATTTTAAAGGGGGTCAATGATGATCAAGGGATTGATTGTGTAATATGCGTTGGCAAATGATCGGCATAACCAAAATCCTATTCATTGCAAATAAAATATTATTAAAAATGATAATTATATTGTTTATTTACATAAAGCTATGTATATCTGGTACTAAGGAAGAAATAATATATAATAAATGCAAAGGGGAAATAAACAAAAATTGTTTAAAATATGTATTTTAAATCAATAAACATTTAATAATGTTAATTTAATTTTAAATCAATAAATATTTATTTATGCTTTTAATATTAAAATATTTATGCAATAAATGAGATACAAAAAAAAAAATTAAACTCACGAACACAGGAAAACACAATCAAAAACTTACGAAGAAAGCAAAACTAATGAACCATAGTAAAATCTACGCCTATTCTTTCAACATGCCGGATGTTGACACTTGTTAACATCTGTCCAAATGGTAGTTATATCATCTAAATTAAGTATATCCTTTACATTTGACAATAATTCGACAAGTTCTTTTGCCCCTTTTTATCCTGCGTTTCGGAAGAAGTAAACTTTTGCATCGTGTTATCACATTCGCTGTGGGAACTGCTGCTCAACATACCACTTTTGGATACTTTTCTCCATATTTTCAGTCAAAGCGTTAAGTTGTTTATAAGCAATTATTTATGTTATTATTATGTTCCCTCTTGTGTATTATACAGAAAAATTTAAAGATGTCGATGAAGGAAACCATTCTTTTAAAAGGGATCGATGTAGGAGAAGGATTGGGAATACCTTGTAAGGTATTTCTCTCGCCTTCCTAGCGTGCCTTCGTGGTATAGTGGTCAGCACACTTAGCCGGTATTTCAGAGGTCCGTGGTTCGATTCCCGGTGAAGGCGTTGCTAATTTTTCATCTCTTCTGCTTCCAAAAAATTACCTAATGTCTCTACAACCTGATACAGTTGATCAATGAATTAAAAATCTCATTATCGTCTGCACGTAGAAATTTTATAAAGAAAGTCTTAGAACTGCAAATTCTGTACAAGCATGATACAGCCGATTAAATTAAACAGGAGAGAATGTTATCTTAATTAATCGGTTGTTCGGAAAGTACTAATTTCTTTTTTTCGCAGTAGTTTTTAGCTGGTGCCCTTTCAAATATAGAAAGTGAAAAGCACTATTTTCGGCATATTTTACTTGTTTACTATCAAAAAGTTAAAAATGCTATTCAAGCAAGAAAAAAATTATCCGATGTATATGGAGAAGATGTATTAACAAAATGCCAGTACCATAACTTGTTTGCAAAATTTCGGTTAGACAATTTTGATCTTGAAAATTTACCACGTTCTGGAAGGTCAATTGAAGCTGATGGAAAGCTTTAGAACATGAGGAACTCATATGTCAAGCTTTGAGATTAAACCTAAGAGTTTCGAATAATCATGAACGGTCGAATTCGATAAATGTAATCTCTCAGTGATCTTACTAGCTGTTATTCTGTTATTCAGACGGTTCCCCCCCCCATCAATTAGTGTCTTTATTGTGTCTTCATCAGCTTCAACTGGCCTTGCAGAACGTGGTGCATCTTCAAGCTCAAAATTTTGCAAACTAGTTTTGGTTGTTGCGTTTTGTCAATCCATACACACTGAATAATTTTTTTTCTTGCTTGAACAGCGCTTTATTTTTTTGATAATAAAAAGTAAAATTTGCCGAAAATGCTGCTTTTCACTTTCCACATTTAAAGGGTACCAACCAAAATCTACTAAGTAGATTCAGTCGAACTTTTTGATAAACAAGCTTTGTTATATCAGCGGCTTAAGTGTGATGTTGACTGTGAAAAAATGCAATTAACCCCTCTGTTGGCAAAAACGAAATTTCTTTTCGAACAACCTAATATATTAAATTTTAAACATTTTCGAAGAGGGTGTCGGATTTTAAGGCGTTGGAAAGTATTCTGTTCGATTTTATAAGTCCGTTTAATAATGTAGCGAAAATATATGTATCCGGATAAAGCTATTCAGAGACAAATTCATGATTCATGATTTCGAATCTGATACAAAACGTTTCTTCTTTGCTTATATGCCTCAGAAAGCACGTAAAAGTGTTATATATAAAGTATGGGAGTTTTCAGTTTGATAACGTTTCTTTGAATTTAAAAAATATTCCTCACTAGCTGAAGTACCCGGCGCTGCCCGGACTTAACGCAGAGTGAGGAGACTTTATGTACATGAATACGGATAGTTTTTTCGAAGGCAAACAGTGGTTTTCCTCTTATTCGGTTATTAAGTTAGTGGAATAAAATTTTACCAAGCTCAAATAAAACTGTAGATTTAATTTTGATAAAAAAAACAAGCATTATTTTTACCTCCCCTTTTATCGCAAAGCTTGAGGTACACGATGCTTTTCGTTTGTCCGTTCGGGGTGTAAATAAACAAACTATCCGGCGTGCCGACTTTACAGCAAGTTACGTTTAATTGGCCTTCTGAATTAGCACAATCAGAAATACTGCACTAATATGTACAGATTTCTTTAAAGTTTGCGAAGACTTTTATGGGTAACTTTTCTGCTACTTTCGTTCACTTTCATACAGTAATTTAGAAAAATTTGCCTTCATCATCTAATATTGTATTGATCATATAATATCCTTTAACAATTTTAAGCTCGGTGAAAACAACAGTATTTACCTTGAATGCCTGATATTATACAAAACCAACTCAAATCAATTAGAAGTAGACTGCACAATCTATTGCATTGTTGAATATGATCTAAAATACATCATTGCTGATCTAAAAGAATTAAGGCTTTATGACAAAAGGCGATATTTCAAATTTATTTCTATAAAACGTACTAACTGTTTATTTTAGGAGGGATTTTACGGATGTATTAGAGAGACTTTCAGAGTGTATAAATACAAACAGTAATACTTTTATAAATTTCGTCCGATATTTCTTTATATTTTTGTACTTTCTTTGACTAAAAAATCTTTCGCCTCTAATGTTTGCCGATTAACAAGAAGACATTTTTCCTTTCGTAAGATTTGTTACTTAATTTATAAGTTTCATTGCTTAAGAATATTAATTTTATAAAAGAACGGTTTTTAAATTCCGATTTGTTTTCAGCCAATGCTACATAGTGACATATTAATTGGTCAAAAGTAGGTCGGACTGCACATTCCTTCGTCCGTTCTCAAAACTTTCAGATTCTAAAGGTCGCTTGTTTTACCACAATCTGAAGATATTAATATAGTTTTCTCCATTTTTTTTAGTTATTTATACAGCTATATTTTAATTCGTATGATATGGCAAATATTTTGATTCCATTTTTAGTTTCTAATTGTTGAAAAATTTTAATTAAGAAAATTTTTCAGTTTAATCCTATTATAAATTTGTAGTGTCATTTATTTGTTCAATTCATATTTTATTGTTTATTCTCTTGTTTTCCTTTTGCCTGCTTAGTTTTTAACTTAATCTATAATTAAAAATTATATATCGTAGCAGCATTATGCGCAGGAAATATTTTTTAAGTCCTTATTACAAATATTTTTTCCAAATTATATATATATATATATATATTCAAACCCTTACCCGTCATAAATAGACAAATAGCCCTCGAACGCTTTGCCGTAATGAAATGATCGGGCTTAATAGTCCGTACCCGGTCTTTATTTTTGCAATCGTTGTTCTTAGTCATATACTACCAATTACAGAAGTATTTTGAATGAAGAAAATATTCATTTCGGCAATATCAGATTTAAAAAAATAATAGTTTTTCTACAAATAACGATATTCACCTTTTAATGTGACCTATACTTATATTTTGGAAAGTTTTATTCTGTTTATTAAAAAATAAAATTATAAGATGTTTGACTCCCAGACGACAAAAATTGACCGGGGTATTTAACTTCCAAATTTGAAGTTCGATGTTATTTTCAATTTGCCATGAGAGATCGGTTAATTTAGAATAATTCGAGAAAATAAGTTTAATCTAAGTGCAGCAAAAACCGTGCATAATTTAATACGCCATCTTGTGGTGTCGATATCAGATATTTTTTATTTATTTAATAATTTCATTCTTTCACATTTATTATTAAATTGATTTTATTATCTTTGTTTTTAGATAATATAATTCAATAAAGTTTTCAAGCTAAGATTGAAATGAAATCAAAAGGGCGATAAAAGCGCCAACAGGAAAGATCCTACCAAATTATATAAATCCATCTGCATAAGAATTCTGTTTAATGAATTATGTTTTATAGAAGAATACTAAAATACAAAATGTAAAAAACGAACTTAATATTTCATAATTTAAGTTCAAAAGATTCAAAATAGAATTAGACATTTTTGTTTGTGAAATTTGCATACGTTGCCATTAGTGATAGGTGAAAATTAAAATACAGAATAAATCTAGAACTGTGCGTTAAAATTTCAGATAAAATTAAAGAAAAATTTCAGAGTTTCAAACAAGTTATGCTAACATGTTATCATTAAAGTTCTCTATCGATCGCTTTTCGTCTGCTTTCAAATCCTTTGGCGAGGATTATTTGGCGCAATGCGTCCGCCAGCAGCATGCAACCTTTCGGAAGAACAGTTTGATTAAAATGGTGAAGAGAGGAAGAAACCTGACATTCCTTCTCTCTTTCTCGCATCGTGCGTAAGGTGTTGACCTAGCGGAGAAGTGAAGTGCGAATTTTTTCTTCTGCTCGGTTGTGTAACGTTTATTGAACTCCGTGTTTTAATTTAACGTCATTTAAAGTGTTTCATTTGTGATTTCTCTAGAGACGTCTTTTAATACATTTGACTTAGAAGTAAAATAAGCAATGACGAAGAAGATATGTATTATAGGTGGAGGGGCCAGTGGCCTCACTGGCATCAAAGCCTGTTTAGAACAAGGCTTGACACCTGTATGTTACGAATGGACAAAAAATCTGGGAGGCCTTTGGAGGTATAGAGAGGAAGACGTTGAAGGTTTGGGTTCCGTTATGAGATCAACAATCATCAACAGCAGCAAGGAAGTCAGTGCTTTCAGTGATTTTCCACCACCGAGGGAATTTCCTAATTATATGCACAATTCGAAAATGATTCGTTACATCGAAATGTATGCCAAAAATTACGATCTTGCACGTCATATTCACTTCCAACACGAAGTTAAAAAAGTTGAACAAGCTCCTGATTACGAACTTACAGGACGCTGGGTAGTAACTGTCCAGAAAGTGGGCTCCGAAGAACCCACGCAACATGTTTTCGACGGTGTAATGGTATGTGCTGGACACCATGTCTTTCCAATCATTCCGAAATTTCAAGGTCAAGAGAAATTTAAAGGAAGAATTATTCACACCCATTCCTACAAGAAACCTAATGGATATGATGACAAGAAAGTTCTGGTTATTGGAGTAGGAAACTCTGGTGGTGATGTGGCAGTAGAATTAAGCAGTATTGCTTCCCAGGTAAGTTTTTGTTTATTTTAATATAGAATTTCATTAATTGCTAAAAATAAAACTTAATTCTCTGAAGACTTTATTTTACAGTAGATATTCTTCAAAATGTTAAATTACGCTCTGTGAAAAAAGCGATATTCGTGCATAATGTACAAAATACAAATTTTATAAAAAACCTATATATTTTTTGGTTCTGTTATGCGTAAAGTATTTGAGATATGCATTCTTAAGTACCAAAATTTTTCTTTTACTATTTTATTTCAAAATGTATTTTCCTTTTACTATTTTCTTTTATTCTGAAGTAACAAAGTTTATTGTTCGTTTCTATTATTATTATTCACAGTTGCCAAAGGAATGAAACCGCTTAACGCTGGTAATTCGACAGAGATTCAAATCCAGCAAACTATGGGGTTTTTGTAGTTTTTCGCACTTGTAACATAAATACGAACCAGTTTTTCTTAGAGTCCTCCACGAAAGCGTCTCCTCGGTAGATATTCGTTATCGGTTTTGCGTTAAGTTATCTACTATGATTTATTTACTACTTTCCTAAAATGAGTAGATGGTATTTGATAGATGTGCGATAACTGATTAAAATTTCGAGACATTTCTTTTGATAATGTGTAAGCAACTGAAATGCTGAATATAAGCGCTTTGTAATCTGCATTTACGATTTTAGAAGCATTAGTTTGTTTGTTTGTGCCTCTTTCGCTATATGTTAAAGAAAATGCTGAAATCCGTGATCTAAATTAATAAATTGAATTAAATTTCCCTTCCTTTAACTCGTATTATACCCCCCCATATTCATATTATTCGATACTGGATATATTGTGGGTTATTTATGAATAAAAGTTGTAGCATTTGTTCGCAAATCAGATTCGGATGTAATTATTCCTGCAGGAAAAAAAGCTGTTGAAACTCCATTCAAACTTTTCTCCCGGAAGTCTGTTTTTCGTGTAATATATTACAACCGGTTCCTCAAAGTGGACATTAAACCCAGTTCAAAAATTAGTTCTGCGACTGGTCGTGTGAGCAGTAGTTTCCAGCTTCTACTTTCAGAATATAACAATTGAATTTGTTTCTTTTACGTAATAAAACATTCCTGTTTAGAGAATATTTATTGAAAGGAGTTCTTGCATATGCTAGGAAAGTAATGTCCAGGTCCACATTTGGAAAGGTCCTATATGTCATAGGAAAGTAACCTTTAGAGTAAATTTCGCTTGAAATAGTTTCCTTATTTGTTACCTAGAAAATGCACCGTGTTGTTAGATTTAATTTTTGTACACATTGCATAAATTCTTGTTGGTGAATGAAATTAGTATTTGTGTAAACCCTTGCCAATGGTATATATAAGAGGGATTTTCATAGTTAACATCGCATGTGATCCATGCTAGACGCTAAGTTTTTAAATATTAAGGCTAATATTTACTTCGCGAAAGAAGGATTATGTTTAAGATAAGCCTATAAACATGAGAAAAATGTCTTTAGTTCAGTACCTATTTCGAATGATTTTATCCCACTCGGATCTGGTACATAAAAATTTTCACAAGAAGTCTTAGAAGACAGTAGCAGTGAAAAAAAAAAAACAATTTCTGCGACTAAAATTAAGTTTAATTATTTTCTTGTAGTTTGAGAGCTGCAATTTTAAGCAAAGAAACAACTATATGGTAGCAACGAAAGGTGTTCTGAGAGCGGTAATTTTAAGCTAAAGATACATGTGATAGCAACAAGAGGAAAAACTGGTTCTTGTTCATTACAGCAGTTACAATTAATAAAAATTCGGAATACATGAATGCATTAAAATTGTTTTCAGCAGATTTTTTTATGTTTTCAACATAAATTCTCATACATTAATACCGAATCTTTTTGTGTGGATATCCCTTTCCTTACTTGCGCAATATGTAATATCGTCTTCCAGAACTTTTTTCTTCCTTTGCCATCTCGGTAATTTAAATTTTTAGCGTGGAAAGAACTATTATAGGTTGATCGAAAATAAACTAATTTCTCACGATGATGTTTGCCTCAAGCTCTGAATACTGCTGTATTTCGGACTGTAAGAACTCGACTTTAATAACTTAACCACTTACCTCTCAAAGACATCCTGATTATATAGTGGTTAAAGGAATCAGACTCGCCAAACACTTAACCCGGCGGAAGTCGCACCAAGAAAAGTTACTAGAATGGGTGCGTGGGGTATCACATACCCCAATATTTAAAATAAAAATAGTATTATTTAGTTTTAAAACTTTTTTTTTTGTTGTTGTTCTCGTGTATTATAAATAAGTGAATAATAATTGGGTTTCAAAAATTTAATTTCCGAAATAATCTTAGAGTTAAAATTAAGATAAATGAAAATAATAAAAAAATAAACATCATGCCGCCAAGTTCATTGTATCTCTAATACACCGTGCTTATTTTATTTCTTCACACTTTGAACGAAATTCATTCATGTGTTCTTGGCACAGAATGTTTTCACATTTTAAACATTGCATTCACGTTCTTGTCCTTGCGCGAGGGCAAAAATTTATCACATCTTTCATACTTAGTTGTTTCGAATTTCATGTATTCGTTTTAATTCTTCGTCGAAACTTCTGCTTTTGCTTTGCGTGAAGTACGTCAATTTCTTGAAAAAGTATTAATCTCTGATCTTCGTTCAATACTTTTTTTCATTAATTATAATGCTAAGTCCTTCAAAAACAGACTTTGTTTCTGGTTGGTGGATTAGCAGTTGAATGTAATATAATTCAAGCATTTATTACAGAAACATTCGGTGCAGGAAAGAAAATTACCATTGGCCACCTCCTTGTTATTCTGGCAATTGAATAATTGGCCGACATTTCATCCCCCATATCCACTGCTCCTTTAGTCGTATTAAAACATAATTCTTGATGTTTTATTTTCTCCAATAGTATCATCTACAGTATGATCGTTATAAAATGATGAAAGCATAAGAACAGTTTTTTTTTTTTTTTTTTTTTTTTTTTTTTTTTTTTTTTACATCAGGAATTAATGTTTTATCTTTTTCGAAACCAAAACATTGTAGAAAATATTCTTAGTTTCATCTTCAGTTTCCGAAATGCAATCTTCATCGGTTTCAAATATTTCTAATAAATCTCACATGTGTTGCATCTCCAGTTCATAGGGACTCATTCCCAGTTCCAACAAAACCGATAAATCCTTTTTCTGAAACACACAGGCAGAGAAAAAGCGGTTCTGAAAGTCAACCACAACTAGAAACTCAGCTACTGAAAGCAGCACAGGATTTAAGTTTCACAAGTTAGGAATATTCCACTTGGGTATGATAAACCCCACGCGCTGTTAAGGATGAAATTTCGGATAGGGCATCCATTTTCGTAAAGTCTTTGCTGAATGAGAGCATTTAAAATCTATCAGCTCGTAAATCTAGTGTTCTCCAGAGAAGGATGGTATAAGAAAAGGGATAAGGCCTCGCAATTCATTTCCCTAATACTCTCGATCAGAAATGGATTGGAGTTAGGCATATTCTCTCCTATGTTTTGCCTTATTTAATTATCGGTATTGGAAGCTGTCGGAAATGCATCTTTCTGAAGTTCTTTTCGAAGACTAGGATAGGTCTGTTGTTCGTGTTTTGTCCCTAAGATTGAAGAGCGCTGAACATTCTTTTAATCTTGACTTTAATCAAGTTATATTTCTGAAATTCCCGAGATGAAAATTTTGGTAAACTGCACACTTTGCAGGTTATTTCTCCCTTTAAATACCGAAAGGGAGGGGCTCGCTGAAGTGGGGTTTAATACTTCGGCATTTCAGTCCCTTTGTTTGAACATAATTTGTAAGAGCCGAAACATATACGGTGCAAATGTCCCCCCTCCTCTTTTCTATAAGTGCAAGCAACAACGTATTTTTTTTTTTTTTTTTTTACAAATCATTGAACGATACACTACGTATCAGCGCTAGGGAGTACTATCAATTCATCTGGAACTAATTCGTATTTATTGAATGATTGACTGCAGGAAGTTTACCTCATGCATTACGTGAATAAAAGCCGAGTAACATTTACTCAAGATTATAGGGAATGCAAATGGTGCTTTTTAATTACAGCGAATGCAAGCCAAGCAAGCTCTTCACGAAAACGATTGTCGGGCTGCGCTTTCCCGTTATGTCACGATCTCCAGCCGATTAAGCAATTACTAAGATAAGCACGGTGGTGGTGTTTTTTTCCCTAGTAAAATAGATTAGTTGAACTTTCTTATTCATCAAATAATCGTGTAAATCCGATATTTTCGCTCAAAATAAAACTGCGTTGCTATTTACAAGTAAACCCATAGTAAGGATCAGGAATATACACGATATTGCCAAGATTACTGCCAAGGTTATCTGCAGGAAGCGAGATGCTCTGATCTCCGGAACTAATAAACACTACGCTAAGTTTAATCCTTAATCTCAGGGTATTAATTAGTGAGAATTAGTCTTAACTTTCCTCGGAGCAGGTAACTGACTTGTCTAGATGAAATTGCACGTCTGGATGAAATTGTACAGATCTCTGGAATTTACTACAATACTACTTGAAAGTTTGTTTAGTTTTATAAACTAATAAAATTAATAAGTAACGTTATCCTAAGAGGTAGCTTAATCGTAATCTGTCTTTTTCTGAAGGATAAGTGGCTCAAAAGTGCATTTTCGTGGCTTTCCTCGTGAGATAAATTATCTATTTAAATGAAATAAATTCTCTTTCAGAACATACCTTTACTATCTTGGTTTATTTTATTACGGCAAAGCACTCGACGGCTATCTGCCTAAGGGAAGAGATGGCTTTCTAAGGGAACTATCTCGTATGCACGTTGCACATGGGGAAAACTACAAAACCGCTCACGCAGCCTGCCCGTTCGCCAGGATTCAAATAAAGAACAGAACTATCAGTTTCCAGCGATTTTGCCGCTCGCTCACTTGTTGTAGGCCTACCTCTGGTATCCTAAGTAACCTTGATGAATGTAAATATAACAATATTTAAGACTAACTTTAAATATAAGACGCTG